TTTTAGAAGCGATTAGGAATCGAACTCAAGGTCGAGATGAACCTATTGTCATCTATATTTCCATCATGTCTGGAATGTTTTCTCGTCTTTCGAAGAAACTTTCTGAAACAGAACAATTGGAGATTATTTTAAGGAATATTCGCCCATGTTATTCAGTCTTCGTAGCTCTAAAAGACATTGACTCTATCGACTCTCTACTGGCTACTTGCCAAAACTATGAAAAATTCCTAGACAGAGACAAACAATTTAAAGAACCAAATGTACAACAAAGTCCTCTTATTTCTGAATTCAACTACAAGCATTCCACTTCAAGTTCAGTTGACTCTCCAAATTCTTCTAATAACTCACGACCCTCTCCTCCCCTCATGAATAAATTCACTCCATCCTACAAATACCCTTCTAGACAAGTTAATAGTCTCTCTCAAACTAAAGCTCCTCAACAAACCTCCTTTTGTGTTCGCTGTCGTAAACAAGGACATTCTTTGAACACTTCTACTCAACCACGATTCGTGATTTGTTTCAAATGTGGTCTTAAGGGTTTTAAAACTGCAGATTGCCCTACTTGTTCTCCCAAACCTAATACTAGTTCAAAAAACTAACTACTGACTTGAAAAGTAACTTAAACTTTGATAACGACGATTGGACTAATTGGATTAAAACAATTCAAAACTTCTTTTCTTGTTACAGAATCTCTTCTACACTCTACTCCAAGGAACAAGATCTTAATCGTCCATTCGTTAATGTCAAAATTTATAACTTAACTTTATCTGGTTTACTAGATTCTGGCAGTTCAGTAACTATTCTGGGTAATAATTATCATTTGGAAATTCTTAAACTGGGCTGCAAACTTTTCAAGTCAGATCTTATTACTGTCTCTACTGCTAATAATCAAAAAGTTAATTCCTTGGGTTATTTTGACTTACCTATTCATTTCAATAATCAAACTCATTTAATTAAAGCTTACGTTTTCCCTGAAATTTTTCCTTCGCTAATATTAGGTATTGACTTTTGGAGAAAATTTAATCTTTTACCTAGTGTTTTATCTTCTCTTAACTTTACAGAATCTAAATGTTCTGCTATCGAAACTAAAGATACTAAAGTTTTACCTTATGAGCATTTAACTCCTAATCAAAAGAACATCGCTAATGACATCATCCAACGCTTCAAGACAATTTCTTTTGAAGAAAAAGGTATCCTGGGATGCACACACTTAATCACCCACAAGATTGACGGATATACGGATGAGCGGCGATAGGCGGCGGCGACCTCTCGCGTCCGGCCCTGGTCGAAGCCATGGTCCGGAGCGAGACGGAATGGGATGCCGTCACCACCTTCTGCGAAGCAGTGATGCTAGTGAAGGAGGTGGCGGAGCGGGAGAAGGAGAGAGCAGCAGCTTTCTTTCCCGGCCGCCGCGGGAGACGCCCCGGGCGTCGGGGGCTACGTCGTGGCCCCCGGCCACCGTAGGCGCGGGCCTGTGGACGGCGAGCAATGGGTAGCTCGCCGTCCGTCCGTCTAACGACGACAGGCCGTGTCGACGGCGCGTTTTGTTCCACGCGCGCCTCAAAGAGCTGTCAGCAGCGTGAAGGGGCCCGCAAGGGCCGACGCCTGCCGGGGCTGCGGGCTGTTCAAAAGAGATACCGCGGCTCCGGAACGTAAGGGCACTGAAGGACACGCCGTGGCGTCTCTCAAGCCACTCCTCAAAGAGAGGTCTTATCGCCGCTATAGTGGCATGCCCAGCACGGGGTTGCGACAGTCGCTCTCTCCATGTCGCCATGAGATCATGCCGGAAGTCTGTCCGCTGCACGACAACTTGCCGTGGCAGCGGGGTTTCCCCCCCGGCATAGTGCCTCCGCGCGCCATTCGTGTAGGCGCGCGAGGACTATCGCCTCCAGATCCCATGGTGGCAATCCGGCAAGGAGGCACGCTGCCTCGCGGGAGATCGTGCGGTAGCCGCGAACCATTCTTACGGCAACCACCTTTTGGGGCGCGTTCAGGTGGTGGACGGCAAGCTGCGCCAAACCATGCGCCCACACCGGGGCCCCGTAAAGGGCCATGGACCGCACAATCCCCGCGTAGAGCCTCCGGCAGGAGGCGTTTGGCCCCCCCAGGTTCGGCAGGAGCCGCCTGAAGGCAGCCCCGGTCCGTTCCAGTTTGGGAGCCAAACGTCGGAAGTGCTCAACGAAGTTCCATCGGCCGTCGAGGACGAGTCCTAGGTACTTCAACGTCGACTCGACGCCGATGGATACCCCTCCTACCATCGCTGAGGATCCCGGTGGTGGCCTGTTCCGAGGACCATGGAAGTGCATGGCCTCGGACTTGTGCAGAGCCACCTCAAGACCCAGCTGCCGGATCCTCTCAACGACTATCGCAACCCCCGCGTGTCATATTTTCCGCCGCCGCCTCGTACGAACCCCCCTGTGCCAGTACCAGCGTGTCGTCAGCGTAGCAAACTTCGCTGACGCCGGTAGGGAGGTCGGCGCGCAGCACCCAGTCGTAACCGATGTTCCACAGGGGCGGCCCCAGAACCGAACCCTGTGGGACACCGCACGACATCTCTCGCCGGTTCCACTCACCGTTGCGACCGGGGTAGATGACGGCCCTATCCGTCAGATAGTCCCCGACTATACGACGGAGATAGGTCGGCACCCGATGATACCGGAGTGCCTCCCTAATGCAGCTCCAGGGCATGGAGTTGAAGGCGTTGGCGATGTCGAGAGACACCGCCAAAACAACCCCCCCCCCTGGCCACTGCATCCCCCGTCGTGAGGGCTCTTACGCGCATGATGGCGTCCACCGTAGAGCGCCTCTTGCGGAAACCAAACTGGTGTTCCGCAAGATCCGGCCCCGTCCCCGCAAGGTGCTCGGCGAGGCGGTTTGCAATGACTCTTTCAAAGAGCATGCCCACCTCGTCGAGCAGCACCACGGGCCGGTATGCGGACGGAGAGTCCGCAGAGCGCCCCGGCTTCCGAATGAGGACCAGCTTCCCCGTCTTCCAACGAAGCGGGAATTGGCCTCTCTCCAAGCATGCGCTTAGGAGCCCCTCCAGTCGGGGCCCGAGAGCCTCCGAGGCCAGGACCCAGGCTTTGCCAGGCAAGCCATCGGGTCCTGGGGCGGTATTCCTGGCCTTGAGCCTACGTACCGCCACTCTCAGGTCTACCCCGGTCCCTTCCGGGATGTCGTCGTCGTCGTCCTGGTGGTCCGCTTCCGGCACCGCAGGTGGCGGAGCCATAGGCGGGGGTGGATGTTCCCCTCGCGCAGGAAACAGAGCGCTCACCACGTCCTCCACGAGCTGAGGCCGGAGACTCTGCGTCAGCGGGGGGGCCCAGGTGCGGAGTTTATCCCGCACCATCTTGTAAGGGCGCCCCCACGGATCTCTGCCGCCTCAATGGCTGCCGCATTCGGTGGACGAATGCGGAGCCTGCGATGCCTGGCGTACAGGTGCCGCGCGGCGACACACGCCTCGCGCAGAGACGTCAGCTCACGCGACCACCAATACACCTGGCGCCGGGCGCTTCCTGGCCGGACGCGGGGCATTGCCACGTCACATATCTCGGACATGGCCTCCTGGAACCACCCTGCCTCATCATTGATGTCGGCAGGCCTATCCGGTGATGACACCCAGGCCTGCACGATCGAGGCTTCCAGGAGGAGCTCCCGGTCCAGCTGCTTCAGCGCCCAACGCGGACCACTCGGAGCCTGTTGGACTGGCGCGCTCGAGGGCTGGGTGGAGACGTCAAACCGGATGTACCGGTGGTCGGAGTAGGTCTCCACCCCCTCCATGACTCGCCAGTCAGTGGCACGCGGCGACAGAGCGGGGCTAGCGAACGAAATGTCCACCACCGACTCGCCCCGCATCCGCACACACGTGGGGACAGAACCCCGATTTAGGACGACCAGGCCTGTCTCCAGAGCCCAGTCTTCCACCATCCTACCCCGCACATCTGTACGACGAGAACCCCAAGCCAAGTTCTTGGCATTGAAGTCCCCGAGGACAAGCACGGGGAGGGGATAGCTTCCGACGACGACTGCTCTCAGCTCTGCAAGAGAGTTGTGGAGCTCGGCGAGAGATCGGTTCGGGGAGAAGTACACCCCCACAACGACGAACTCCCCGAACCGTGCTACTACCCTAAAGCAGAGAATAAGGGAAAACGACCTTATTGTTACTAAAGACGATAAAAGCAATACTATTGTTATTATGGAGAGTAGTGGGTACAGCCAGAAAGTTAACGATGTTTTAAGTGACAAATTGTGATGACTTTGAGCTATTGGAGTCTGACCCAACCAAAAAGATTAGTTCGGATATTAAGTTATGTATACAACAGTTATCATATGTTCTTCCCGATCACAATTTGTCTCGGAGCGGTATTGTTTCAATGAATCCTCAAGCACCCATTTTATATGGGTTACCAAAAATATATAAAGAACATGTTCCTATTCGTCCAGTTGTCTCATATATAGGTGTACCAGCTTATTTCCATGCTAAAAAAATAAACTTCCTCCTTCGAGAGAAATCTGGATTCAACCCCACTTACAGCCTAAAAAATGGCTTAGATCTCATTTCAAAATAAAAGATATTCGTATTCCTCCTAAATCCATATTGTTATCTTTAAACATTGATAGTTTTTTCACAAATGTCCCATCCCCTGACTGTTTGCGTATACTCGGAGATCTCTTTGATAAACGGAGTCTACATCCCGGGGAAATATATGATCTTCTTAACTTAACCTCTCTCTGTATGAAACAAAACTATTTCCGGTTTAATAACCGTTTCTATCTACAAAAAGAAGGGTTAGCTATGGGGTCCCCTCTAAGTCCCCTTATGGCAGACATTTTCATGGATAATTTCGAAAAAGAACATATAGTTGTCAATAAAAATATTTTATACAGGATGGACCGTGGCAGATTTACAACTTGAAATTTAAATTTTTTTAAACCATTGCGTTAGCGAGCGGGGGAGGGGTGGCATTCAACGATGCAATCGTGCGGATTGTTTAGTCACGATGTCGCAGTGGACTGGTGAGCAACGCGCGTTCGCAGTAGAATCGTACTTTAAAAGTAACGATTCCTGTACCATTGCCCGTCGTCAATTTTGTACACGTTTTGATATTCAACGTTTAAGTGACGGACCAAGTGCTAATTTAATTAGAACGTGGGTGCAGAAGTTCCAAGCAACTGGTTCAACCATAAACAACCGTCGGCCAGGCCCTAGCCGGACGTCAAGGACCAAAGAAAACATTCAACGTGTTGAAAGCAGCGTACTGCAAAATCCACGCCAGTCCGTGCGCAAGAGAGCATCGTCTTTGGCGTTACTAAAAACGACCGTGCAGCGAATTTTAAGTAAGCACAAGAAACTTCATCCATATAAGGTCCAATTGGTGCAGGCTCTTAAACTAGATAACTTCATAGCGCGTAAAGAGTAATGAAAACATGCTAAGCCGATTTCAAACTGAAAATACAATTTGGTTCATTGACGAAGCACATTTCCATTTAAATGGGTTTGTCAACAAACAAAACTGCAGGTATTGGGCACCAAGAGGACAAAACCCGCGATTAAAGCACCAACTAGCCCTGCACAGCCCGAAAGTCACCGTTTGGGCAGCTTTATCAACGAATGGAATAATTGGGCCTTTTTTTTTTTGAAAATTCCCGTGGAGCAACAGTAACCGTTGATGGTGCTGCTTACCGCCGCATGATAAACGAATATTTTTTGCCGCAACTTCGAGAGCACAAATCGTACAGTTCACATATGTGGTTTCAACAAGATGGCGCCACAGCTCACACGGCGAGAGCCACCATGAGCTTACTACGCAAACAGTTCCCTAGAAAACTGATTAGTCGATATGGTGACATTGTGTGGCCACCCAGATCGCCGGATCTCATCCCTTTGAACTTTTTCCTGTGGGAGTATCTTAAGGCAAAAGTCTATAATAACAACCCAGCAAACATATTACAATTAAAAGAAAATATCGAGCGAGAAGTGAATGGTATTCCGCAATCAATATTGCAACGCGTCGCTCGGAATTATGTCGAGAGGTTCCGTAAATGTGTACGCCGCGACAAAAGACATTAAGAGGGCATAATCTTTAAAAAGTAAAACCCGCATGCGTGAAGATTGATTTGGTAGGCAATACAAAATTTTTGTTCACATCTACTATCTATTTATTTCGTTTACTAATCGTAAATCTGCCACGGTACACCCGGTATTACTATCGATATGTAGACGACATAATAATTTGCTGGACTGGCACAAGGAGACAACTGGATGTTTTCCTCAATAAAATAAATAGAGTCCATGACAAAATTAAATTTAAACTTGAATAACATAAAATAATAACAAGAAAAGAATAGTCACATGTTTTCCAAATTTATCGAAAGTCAACTCATACCGACACGGTCATCCCCGCGTCATTGTGTCATCCGTGGCAACATAAAGTAGCCGCTTTTTATTGTCACATTGACCGTTTGTTCACTGTCCCATTAAGTAAAGAAAATTATTTAAAAGAACTTAACATAATTTATCAAGTAGTGTTCTCTAACCGTTTTTCAAAAAAATCTCATTAACAATTTAATTAATAAGAAACAAAAGCATGTTGTTCGCAACTCTCTGTACGCGGTTCAACCTTAAAGTGTTCATCGATATGTGAGCAGTTTGACCCCATATCTGAAAAAGTAGCTAATACTCTTCGACAAAACGGCGTTTATGTGGCGTTCAAAATAAACAATTCTCTTAGAAATATCTGTAATAATAAAGATAAGTTGGATATTCGTCAAAAGTCAGGTGTTTACAAACTTGTTTGTGACGAATGCCACGCCGTTTACGTGGGTCAGACTGGTCGTAATTTCGAGACACGTTATAAAGAGCATATAGCCGCATACAGGAATTGCAATTCCGATAAATCCCATTTTGACAAACATCTTTTGGACACTGGACACAACCTAGCCAGCGCCCACTCCTTTAAAGTCTTACATACGTGTAATAAAGGGCTGCGGCTGTGTATGCTGGAACATTTAGAGATATTAAAAAGTATTAACAGTAACGTTGCACTGCTGAATGAACAAGCAAATGTTACTAACTCACTGGTTGGAGGGTAGGCAGGCGTTGCGGGGCGGTTTGTTTTTAATTTTAAAAACGGCTGCGTAAGTCCGGTGGTGATTGGTCGCATGTTTTATCGCATAACGCAGTCGCTCGCTCCTTAAGTAGAGAGCGGTTGAGTCAGCGGTCTGTATAAATAGCAGTTGTTTTGGCTCGCCACTCACTTAGCGGTTAGCCATCGTAGAGTATATATCACCTGAGGATGCCTCGTGTAGAGGCGAAACACGTATCGTATTGTCGTCAGTGGTGTGTCTTTCCTAGTGAAGTGGTTTTGGGAGTAGTGATGCTGGGATTAGTGGTGACGGGGATAGTGCACGCAATTGAGGGAGCGCGGGAGGTTCTCTTCAAACTAGGTAAGACAAATCATTTTATTTTATCTAGTGGATGTACACAAAGTAATTTTTTGTCAAATATAAGCTAATATTTTTCTGCAGTTATTTGCGTGGACCACAACAAATTGTGCCCGGCCTGGATGTTGCTCCATTTGTAATTAGTTTATTATATAATTATTATAAAATCTGTAATATGTTTACGTATCTTCCATTTTTTAAGTTTATAGCAGGAGAAATAATTATAGTTGTAGTAATAGTTGGGTTTGTCGTTACACATTCGTCTGTACGTTATTCTCACTAAAGGGCGCACTTAATACCGGAATCGTGGAAAATACCACGAAATTAACTGAGTGTAGTTCTTTTTTACCAAAACAGCTCACATAAACTAACGATTGTGTTTGTTGAAATATAAATTTCGAATTTAGTATTGTAGTTTTATATTGATTAGTCTTTTATATTTTTAAACATACATTTTCGTGTTTGTTTTAGTAAATACATTTTCTTTTTTACTTAATGAATTGCTATATGACACGCGTTCACGATACAGATAGAATTCCTAATGTGGCCTGTTTAACATTAATAAAAAAACTTTTAATTTAAAAAAAAAACCTAACAAGAATGTAACAATTTTGCATTCTGAAATCGGTGCCATAACACATTGTATAGTAGAATTAACGCCCCGATGAATGTGAAATTATTTTTTTATTCTTTGGGAGAGATCTTTTGCCTGTATTACTTGAATATCTCAATCTCAATGTCGTTTAAATAGCTCCATTGAAAACTTCATTCTCTATCATGCCCTATTTTTAATAGAGGAATTTATTCTCCAAATTCATATTAGATCACAACTGAAATATCACGTATTTAATCAAAATCGGATCTCAGTTAACAAAAATATCACGTAACATACATCATATATTCGAAATACCTAGACTTGAATTAAATTGACTAAAAACAATACTTCTTAGCGGTCAACTACCGCAGAAACTATTTTGCCTGATGATGCCTCAGCCAACGATAGGATTATATTGTAGGTGAGAAACTAATAGTACTGCAATTGTTAATTTGCCGCCTTATTAGCTACCAAACTTTAAAATTCTTCGTTTAAAGTTTGGTAGCTAACGAAATTCGGGATGTGCCCGCGTCTTCCCATTTCAATCCTGAGTTCCCTGTTTTTAAAGACCCTTTGTTTTTTTTTTTTTTTTTTTGCGGATGGAAAATCATCAAATGACGCCTTTCGCTCTGGGTGGAGCGGAAGGGAGTGTCAGACTTTTACTGACTAAAAACCATCCGTGTTCCTTCAGTGCCCTTACGTTCCGGAGCCGCGGTATCTCTTTTGAACAGCCCGCAGCCCCGGCAGGCGTCGGCCCTTGCGGGCCCCTTCACGCTGCTGACAGCTCTTTGAGGCGCGCGTGGAACAAAACGCGCCGTCGACACGGCCTGTCGTCGTTAGACGGACGGACGGCGAGCTACCCATTGCTCGCCGTCCACAGGCCCGCGCCTACGTGTGACCGTCAGTACGGTTTTCGTCGGGGTCGATCAGCGGGTGATCTTCTAGTTTACTTAACTCATAGATGGGCGGAGGCAGTAGAGTCCAAGGGGGAGGCATTGGCCGTTAGTTTGGACATAGCGAAGGCCTTCGATCGGGTCTGGCACAAGGCGCTTCTTTCGAAGCTTCCTTCCTATGGGCTTCCCGAGAAATTGTGCAAATGGATCACCAGTTTCCTTGCTGATCGGAGCATCAAGGTCGTAGTAGACGGTGCATGCTCAGATTACAAGCCTATCAACGCTGGTGTTCCACAAGGCTGCGTGCTATCACCAACGCTGTTTCTCCTGCATATCAATGATATGTTGCTAACTGGTAGCATTCATTGCTATGCAGACGACAGCACTGGGGATACCTTATATACCGGCCGTGCCAATATTTCTCGGGAAAACGTCGCCGAGTACCGGGACAAACTTGTGTCTGAAGTCGAGTCTTTGCTTAACAAAGTCTCGGATTGGGGCCGACTAAATCTAGTCCAGTTCAATCCCTAGAAGACACAAGTTTGCGCGTTTACCGCTAAAAGGACCCCCTTTGTCGTATCTCCTCAATTTCAAGGCACTCCCCTTGCTGCCTCAGCCAGTATCGGAATCCTTGGCGTCGACATATCGAATAGCGTGCAGTTTCGTGGTCACTTGGAAGGGAAGGCCAATTTGGCCTCTAAAAAGCTTGGCGTGCTCAGTAGAGCGAGACAGTATTTCATGGCGGCACATCGCTTGCAACTTTACAAAGCGCAAGTTCGGCCCCACATGGAATACTGTTCTCATCTCTGGGCCGGGGCACCCCAGTGCCAGCTCCTTCCACTTGACCGCATCCAGCGCAGAGCGATTCGAATCGTCGACGACCGAGTTCTTTCCAATCAGCTCGATACACTGGCACTGCGTAGAGATGTTGCATCTCTTTGCGTATTTTATCGCATCTATCACGGGGAGTGCTCTGAGGAATTGTTCGGACTAATTCCAGCCGCTCAATTCACCATCGCACGTCGCGACAAAACTCGCGTTACCATCCGTACCATCTGGATGATTGGCGGTCCACCACTGTGCGATTTAGAAGAAGTTTTCTCCCTCGCACAACTTCTTTGTGGAATCAATTACCACCAGCGAATTTTCCGAACCGATACGACTTAGGAACCTTCAAGAAAAGAGCTTACACCTGTCTAAAAGGCCGGCATCGCATCTGCAATTCCCCTGGTGTTGCGGTTGTTCATGGGCGGCGGTAGTCATTTACCATCAGGTGAGCCGCAAGCTCGTTTGCCCCCTATTCTATAAAAAAAAAACCATACTACACATACATAATGTATAATTGTGAAATAAATTATGAGTCATACTAAACACACCCCCGCACACTTCCCTCCTGTCCGTTCATTGGACAAATGAAGCATATGCGCCTCACGGGCGCTTGCACGAGTTGTGCAACTGACCAAACGAAATAAAAGGCATGCTGTGAGTG